TTAAGGTGTAGGATGAAGTTATACCTCCTTAGTGTCTTAACCCAGAAATTTTCGGTCCTCAAGGCTCCAAGAAACCGTGAAAATGCAGCCCTTTTTGTTAGCTAAATCCAACCTCCAAGTAGTTTGCTAGATGATCTCCAAGTTTGGTGAAGATTGGTTGAGGTTTTGGGTTGATTTAGTGAAGAAATTTGTGAAGCAAGAGAGTGAGTGAGAGGGAGATGTTGGCCGGCTGTCTTAGTGAGAGAAGATGGAGAGTGATCAGATTTCTTTTAGCTTCCAAGAGAAGATTAAATGAGTGGTGCACAATCACTCCAAAGTCAACTCTTATTAGGGCGTGTTTGGCGCGATTAGGGCTCGATTTTCTCGCGCGTTTGGTTCACTAGTGCACTGAACCTCCAATACATTTATATTCATGTAAGTATTATTCACTCTTAATTGTCCCGAAATAAGGGTCTAAGGTCCCTCAAATAAAGTCACGCGTGTGAAAACGCGTACCGTCAAATTTAACGTTATAACGCGAAACTTCTGAGAAATTCTTATAACGATTGCACTACTAACTGTCACTTGAGTATTTATTCATAAGATTACCTATTTTAGAACCATAGTACAAGTCTCGAATATTCCAAGCTTATTGTGCTCCTACGCGGATAAAATCTCCAAGCACTATTCACTATTTTTACTAAACGCACTCCAGGAAATTAATTTTTGAAACGAATCATTTTAAAAATATAACGAAGTTATATTACCATGTATTTAGGTCTAATAAAACTAGAAAATATTCCTTGGAAATAAAATCCAATTAAATAATTTATTGAGCCATAAATTAGGCATAAAATAATAGTTTTTGCGAGTCCTCACAAATTATACTCAAAAGAAGGTAAAGATGAAGAATGAACCATAGGTAGTAAATGAGAATCAAAGTTTGGAATTCTCCCTTCATGGTTGGTTTGAATTTTTTCCCCTTTGGTATGGACAGATTTGAATTGAAATTGTTCCATGAGGTGATCCCAAATAGATTTAATTCCTAAAAGACAAACTCCATGGAAACTAGTGAATTGTACAAGTGACTTTGGAATGGAGCATGGCATGACTAACTTCACTTGACTTTGCTTAATCTGCACAAATGAAGAAACACTAAATAAAGCAAAGGTAAGTTCGTTAGAAAAACAATAAGCCCTCACATTTTTGCTCAAAATCGGCTCACTTTCTCTTTTTTCTTCCTTTTTACCACTCATCTCATCAAATTTTTCCATCTCTTTATCTAGCTTAATGCCCTCGATTGTTTTCTCATTATCAACCTCCTCAACAAATGGTTCAATAGGATGAGATACTCCTTTGTTGAGAATAGGGTCAGCTACCTCCTTCTTAGAAAACTCACTTTGATAGCATCCATTTGACTCCATTTGTTTTTGGTGTAGAAGACGTTGATATGTCTCCCAAAATGACTCCTCATGAGGTGATTCAACTCTAGGTTTAGGCCTAGAAAATGTTCAATGAAGCTTCTTATCACCTCTTGTATAAACCGGCTTTAAAGAGGTAGATTGCATGGAACCCCTCCTCTTAAGAGATTCGTTCTCTCGCTGGGGTTTATGTTTGTGTTTCATCACTCCCCTTTGGCTTTTCCTTGATCGAAATGAGGTGTTAGAATGATATCTCTCATCATCCGCATCATGATCAACATTCTGAACACTCGAAACCCTATTGTGTGTATTTCCGGTACCTCGCATCTCAATGGCAGCCAATCTGTCTAATAATTGTGTCATTACAACTTCATGTCTCTCCGCTTGTTTTCGAAGAGCTTGGAGCACCAGTTTGAGTGACACGTCGGTTTCAGACGGCTCAGGCATGTTCCCTTCTTGAGACATATTGTCAAACCTGCAAAACAAGTGTATCCTAGTCTATCTTGCAAAGCACTCGTGTATCACTCAAGAAAAACACACTCATTCTCAATTTTCCTTTCAAAGTTCTTAAAACAACTCAAACTCTCAAAAATTTCAAAATTAATTACCCTATAAGCAAGTAATAAGACACAAAGCAGAATTTTGTAAATCTTAGAAAAACTCTACCCGAAACTGAAACTTTTTTTTTTTGAGTTGCTGTTTTGCTGAGTTTCTGGTCAGTATTTTGGAGGGTAAGTGGTGCTTTTGGGATGTTCAAATAACGCAAGAACCAGTCCTCAAATTTCAGGGAAATCGGCTCGCAAAGACTAGCTCAACCGATTTTAGAAACCCAAGAATTTAAAGGCGGTGTGGCTAAGGTGTTAGGTTTGGTTTTGGAAACTGATTTTGGGGTGCTTGGGGTCTGGTTAGGTAGTTTGGGGTCGTTGAAATTTAATTAAGATTGAAAACTCAAGAATTGGAAACCAATCAAGATTTGGAGACTCAAGTCTTTTTAGGAAACCAATCAAGATTTGGAGACTAATCAAGAATTGGAGACCAATCAAGAATTGGAAACTCAAGATTTGGGAAACTTGATTTCCTTTGTATGAGAGCCGATTCCTTCTCTTCTTTTTTTTTTTTTGTTCTCCTTTTTTTTTTTTTTTTGCTTCGGCTCTTCAAGGAACACAAATTCAGGTCACACCAACAAGTTCAAGAAAAACGGATGAAAGGTTATGCAAATTTCAAGAAGGCCCTAGTTCTTGATTTATTGTTCAAGAACTTTCAAAACAAGACTTGATGGTTCAAGAACTTCAAGAATTTTGTTCAAGGAGCTCAAGAACTTCCCCAAATTATGTTGTGGTGTCTAGGGTTTGCAAGAACAACAACCAATATTCAAGAAATAGGCAAAAACAGAATTTCAGCAATACTCAAAAGAAAATTCCAGCAATACTCTAGCAACTTGGACACTGAAACAATATAAAGTACGTGACTCTTTTTTTTTTGCCTTTAAACCCTAACAACCCAAACACAAGTATAACAGATCCAAGAACTTGGACAGAAAATACAAAAAAAGACAACACCCAAACAGATTTTTTTTTACTCGGATGAACAGTAACGTGAACAGTACTCTACAGTACGATGAACAGTATTCGGTACAGTAACGATGAACAGTATTCGCTACAATTTTTTTTTTGACAAAAGACACAAACTAACAAGATATGAACAACTTCAATTAAAAGAGAATTAACCTGATGCTCTGATTACCAACTGATAAGGCAACCCTAGGGCAGACCCTCCCAACCTCGTAATTATCAGAGTTGGATCGTTTCTCCCAATGGAAATTGAACTCGATTGTTCTCATGAACTCAAGACCTCTGACACACAAAGGCAATCAGCAACCTTAAGCAAATAATGATGGATGAAAAGACACCACGATTAAGGAACAAGCTAATCGATAAAATCAGATTTGAATCCTAATCAAAGAACTCAAGAATTCAAGAGTAAGTTCGATTAAGAACTTGAAAGAAAATTTCTCACGGTTTCTAGTTGTAATAATCTCTGTGTCGCTCATACAATAGGTGCCTTTTATAGGCTAAAACTAGGGCAAATCCGGCCCACATAAACCTTGAATAGGAATTCGGTTTGCATAAAGAGCCAGCTCTTTAAGGCTTCCCGATAAGGCCCAATAAGTAATAAAATACTCAACGACTAACAACTACTAAACTAGGCAGTCTTAAAACAACTACCAACTAAGCTAACAAGTATGAAATAATTCTTTCACTTCAAACGTACAAGTGAACAAGTTAATTTCATGGTCCATCAAATCTCCATACTTAGCTTGCTCCTTGTTTGTATGGTGAATGATCAAGGCTCATAAAACTTCCTTCACCCTTTTATGGACCAGAGGATCCTTGACCCAAGGTTGAAGTTATTGCACACCCGTATCCGCATCAAATTGTTTATGTCTTTCTAGAAGTTTATGCATCAACACATTATAGCTAACAAATAAAGACAAATGATTATGAAAGAAATGAAAAGATCAGAGATCATTTGAAGAAAAAACAATAACAAGGAAAAAAAAATTGGACACACAATTAGTCAACATGGCTTCATAGAAAAGGTAACTTCTAAAATAAGTGTTTCTATTTATTTTTTTTTTTGTTAACTCTTTGCCTACAGTATATATAACATAGAAATATGATAAGTTTGAGTGCAACAAAATGTGCAATGTACGTGCACTTTCCTAGTATATATATATTGCTAACTCCTATGATTCAAATACACATCAATTCTCGAGCCCCGCTATTATTTGTCACATTTAAATAGGTTTGAGATTGAATCATATCATTTGAAATATGTTCTTTCAATGCAAGGGATGAAGAAAAAAAAAAGAAAATATTCTTTGTCTAAAATAAAAAAAAATTGCAATTTCCCAAGACTCATTTCTATTGGTTCTACTTTATTTCTCCCTTATCTCGAAATAATGAATTGAGTCCGTATAGGCATTTTGGATGCTGCCATTGAAATAGCCCTTCTAGCTATATATATATATATATATATATATATATATATATATATATGCAAGTCACTGTAGCAAAGCATTCCAAATCTAAATGTTATAAACCAAAAGGATAATGAAGTAGTATGTTTTGAGAATAAATGCCTAATTTCTGATGACCACCAACATGTAAAAAAATTTCTTTGAAAGCTACTGCTTTATAGTCCTATCTATTAAAATTGGTTATGTTATTCTTTTGCTGATATAACTTATTAGGATTCTTTGTTTGAAAAAATAAACTTATTGAGCTATAATTTCCTTGTATTGGACAAATGCATAAAATAAATCCTTAGAAATATTTGGAAAAAAATTACAAATCACAATAGGTTGCAAATTATGAATGTTAAGTTCTAATTAGTTCTCTATGATCAGCATATAAAAGTAGAAAGAATAAGTTAGATGAAGGAATGTTTAAAAAAATGTGAAATTTTCAAAGAGCAAATTATGCTACGGATAATTGTGGCTCCTTAGTGTGTGATATGAAAAACAGAGTATAAATGCTTTTATAGGAACTTACTCAACAGAAATTCCTCCTCAGGCGAGTAGACTTTACCTAGATTTTGTCACAGGCACTTTCTATAAACTTGAAGTATGCATGGTGCCATGACTTCTTGAAGAGAAGGATTCCCAAAACTCCCAAGAGCCCGACAGCAAAAACCCGGTCCTATTCCAGCATAAAACCAAGACCAATCAGATTCACTGTGGCCTTCATCCTCATCAATAGGCCCATTTTTGGTAAGCAATTTGTGTTCCCAGCAGTTGTTTGGGAGTGGTTTGCCACAGAGTCCACTGTTTCCTTCATAGATGGATGGATCAGTCAAGGTCTGAAGTTGATTTCCTAATGGTATTGGCCCTGAAAGTTTATTGTGTGACAAATTCAGGAATTTCAATGAGTACAAATTGGATAAGCTTTCAGAGATTGCACCGAAGAGTGCATTCATTGGTAGATCAAGTGTTTCAAATTGCCAATCTTCTTGGGGATCCTTCCAGTCAAATGATTCTGTGAAAGATTCAAAACTTGTACTTGAACCAGCTCCATTATCTCATCAGGGATCTCGCCAACTAAATTATTTGCTGAAAGGCTTATGGATTTAACAAGAAGAAGGTCCCATGAGTAATACTCAACTTCTTCCTCCCTTAATGTCTTGAAGGCTTTCTCGTGGATAAATGCCCAAACCTCCATCTAAATGTCCCATGGTAGTAATGTTGTTAAAGCAGTAAGGAATAAATCCACTCAAGTTATTATGTGCTAAGTTCAAAACTCGGAGATATGAGAGTTGGCAGAGCGTATCAGAAATAGGTCCATGGAAGTCATTTAACTGAAATCTTAGAAACCTTAAATATGATAACTTTTCCTCAATCCAAGTTGGTATAGTATCCTTTAGTCCATTGTCACCGAGATCAAGAGCTTGCAAATATCTCAAATGCTGCATTGAGGTAGGGAGCTTCCCACGAATTTATTTCCATTCAAATGCAGAGTAGAAAGTTGCCACAAGTCACCAAGTGAACTTGGAATTTGACCGAATAGACTGTTATTTGCCAAGTTTAGGATCCCCAGGCCTCGCAAGTTTCCTAGACACAGAGGAACTCTTCCGGACAGAAGATTGTTGGATATTTTAAATTTTCCGACTTGCCAAGTCTTCAGGGATAGTACCTGTGAAACGGTTATCATTTAGAAAGAGACCCCACAGTGCATGGTATGGCATTTGAGATGCTCGCATTTCGCATGTCTAACTCCTCAACCTCATTCTGCGTCCGAAGCCAAGCTGGAAACCTGGGTCCCACAATGATGGATCCAATCCGAATTTCATGGAGTTGAAAAGGAGGAACCCATGAGGAGCTCACGTTCAGAGCGAGTGAGTTTCTGGATAGGCCCAGTGACTTCAGCTCTCAAAGTTTCGCAAAAAGGTCTTCAGATAGGACACTAGTTAATGAATTGTAACGAATGTCAAATGCTTGCACCTTCGTCAGCTACCAAAGATTGGTCGGTATGGTACCATTTAAATTATTAGAGGACAATGATAGATTAGTTAGTTTTGGAAGCTAGCCGATTTCACTTGGTATTAGTCCTTGCAAATTATTATCCCTCAGATCCAAATAAGACTGTTTATGTTACAAAATGATTTCAACATTGAAACATCAAAACGGTTTGAACGTAGATCAAAATGAACTAGAGAGGTCATTTGGTGAAACAGGCCATGAATTGGATCAGAAAGATTATTACCAGCAAGACGAAGATCATGGAGGCTAGTAAGATTACGGAGCCAAGGATGGACCGTGTAGTTGTTGAAATTATTTCCACCGAGGTCAAGGAAAGAAGAGATGTGAAATTGAAATGTGAAAGATGAGGATGGATGAAAAAATCACAACTATTCAAGTCTAGTGTTGTTAGTGAATGAAGCATGTTAACTGACTGTAACCCATCTTGAGCGTCTGTAAGGTTAACTCTGGACAGGACTAGGACTTGTAGAGAAGAAAGCCCAGCAACCCACCCGAGATCCTTAGTCCTCAACCAAATTCTGTATTAGGAAGGAATACCTAACAGGGTTTTGCTATACGTACAAGTTAAAAAATCAGAAATACACCCGTTTTACTACAAGTATACAGGTCAACTAGTAGTTGAAGGTATATATCGGGTCTATCCCACGAGGAAGATTGAACAATTACCGGCACTACTAAAGTTTCTCTATTATTTAGACTATCAACGAATTATAAGAAATAAAACCTACTGAACTTAAGCAAAATAACAAATGAAAACTTCTTAGGTTATGGTATCCCTAACTACTCATGCAAGTGCTACTTTTGGATCATTGAATATTACTATCTAGACTAGTTATGGTGTAATTTCCTTATTCATATGAATCGTACTTTCATAGTGAATCAATTATACTCATAACTAATCCATACCTATTCTCATGGTTATGAAATTAGTTACAAGTTTATTTCTTCAATGAAATTACATGAAATAAATTATTAAAACCACATAGGTATACCTCTACTCTCGTGAGTGTACTCCTTATGTTTAGCACTTCTTGAACGAGTGTTAAATCTCAATTTTTATTGTAGAAACAACACCTTAAATAATCACGATTAATGGTACCAGATTAATCATGATTTAAAGAGCTACAGTACTAAATAACTTGCTCAAATAATAGCAATCAAATAGCCAAATAATAAATACTAGCAATCATAGAAAGTTCAACCAAGCCCAAGGCATAAACTTTAGAGACACATAAATAACATAAAATCCAAAACTTGTATATTAACTAAACTTATAATCAAGTACAAAAGATAAAGAGTTGGAGAAGAGATAACCCTTGTCACATGAGCTTCAACTCCTCCTTCTTCATCCCAATCTTCATCCTAATCTAGCTAATATGCAAGAGTGGATGAGCTATACTACTCTATACTAAACTAATCTAACACACAGAAAATGGAAGAGCTACATTTCTGCAGACTCCAAGCTTCTCCCGTATGTCTTTCCTTCAATCTTGCAATGATTTTAGCTATATAAAGGTAAAAGGTGGTCAAGGAATAAGGTTTACACCTCCTTTTTATAGCTGCAAAATAGTTGTCACATGTCTAGCATTACATGTGACTTGTTGGAGGTAAAATCAAATTGTCCACGTAAAGAGCAGTCTTTTCTGACCACAATCCAGTCATAAATCCGGCCAAGTTCCGGCCGGATTGCTACAGTGACTTTTTGTGTAATTCTATTCAATTTCTAGCTCTGGTCTGATTTTGCCTCAACTTCAACTGAACTTTTCTTGATGATAGAAGCTGATTTAACCCTTGACCAAAACATAAAACTTGTATCCGTTTGAGTAGTTTTCCAATGCATCAAGAATCACTTCATTTGGATTTGTGTAGGCTGAGAAATGACTGAAATACCTTGACTGCTCAATACCCTGTTTCAGCTTTGACCTATAGAAATTGGCTACTGTAATTCGACTTTTTGACCTGGAAAACCTTAGAACTGGATTCCGATGTCTTCACCAAAGTTGTAGGTCTATATCTTATCTTCAAATTGGTTTAAGAAGCATCTCAATCCAATCACTGTAGCTCAAGTTATAGCCTACAATGATTCAAAGAAAAGGATTGCAATATAAAAGGTACGGGAGGCAAAAACTCGTGACATAATTTTCTTATACAGGAATTAATGAGGTATTTAAACTAAAAAGTTATAATTACCCATTTCCCATGTTCAAAGAATAATTCTCCTAACATAGACAAGCAAATGAACTAACTTAAATGAGATGCAATTCTAAATAATATGATTAACATATATAGAGGATAGGGGATAATATAATAGGAAATATCACGCAAATGAGAAAATATCCTAAAAATGAAAATATGTACGAAAATATAATAAATGTCACAAAAAATGAATCTAATGTACGAATGATCTAAAGGTCTAGTGTTGGACTAGCCCATTTCTAAAAATTCTTACTACCATTGGACTAGCAAGTAAGCGGAGGAGGGAAAAGCCATAACTAACATTGGACTAGTGTGGTGACGTCACGCATTAATAATACATAATAAGACAAATAGGCATAAATTAAAATAAATAAACACATAAGAGCACGTAGCACGTAACGCATAAATATAATATCTAGATGCAAAAAGAATCCTAAGGAAAGCGGGTAAGGCACATAACACATAAGTCACATAATACACAACTTACCTATTATATCGGGGAGCCTAACTACAATTCTAAAAGGAAAAAATATAATAAAACAAATATAATAATCCTATCTATTACATTTTTGAGGCATTTAAATGCCTCTCAAATAATTATAAAATTAACTAAACAAACATAAGAAAATTTAAATGAACATTCAAATCAAATAAACAAAGCATATAAAAATATATAAACACATAGGAACTGTGGGGACCAAAAAATTTTCTTATTTATCGAATATTACAAGTTTACTTAAATATTTAATTTCTCATTTTCTCCGAATTATTTATTTCGACCATTTAAAAATCCATTTATATGGAACAACGCCTCTTTTATATTTTAAAGCATTTTGTTGGAAAGTTCACTTTTCGAAAATTCGTTTAGTTCGGAACAACGAGTGCACATCTTTCGAGACTATACTTGAATCAGGAGTGTATCAACATTGGATAATTTAGAATGATCAATAGTAGATTAAGAAAGGTTAATTGAGAAATTAATACTAGACTTCTGTGAGGACTCGCAAAAATTTATTATATTAAATTACTATTCCGAACTTATTCAAATATTTAATTGCCTGTTTGCTCCAAATATTATTTTCTAACCTCTTGAGACCTAATTACATTGATCTATGACTTACTTATATTTTTAAAGTGACTCATTTCAAAAATTAATTTTTGGAAACTCGAATAATAAAAATAGTGAAACGTGTTTGAAAATTTTAGCCAATTGGGAGTAAAATAAGCTCGGAAAATTGGAGACATGTACAATGGTCCTAAAATAGGTAATTTTAGGTTTAAGTACTCAAGTGATAGTTAGTGGTACTATCGTTATAAGAATTTCTCGAAAGTTTCACTTTATCGCGCCTAAATTGGAAATATCCGTTTTTATGCGTGCGATTAATTGAGGGACTTTAGACCCTTATTTTGGGACAATTAAGAGTGAATAATATTTATATGGATATAAGTGCATTAGAGGTTTAGTGCACTAGTGAAACAAATGCAAGAGGAATTGAACACGAAACGCGCGCGTACATGCGCGAGAGAGAGTTGACTTTTGCACCAATTCTAGCCACACATTAAAGCTTCCTTTGGAAGCCTCATTTGGATCAAAATTTTCTCTCTCTTCCTTCCTAAGACAGCCGGCCATCCCAAGAGCAAGAACCAAACTTGCTTCATCAAATTCTACTCCATTTCATGCATCAAATCTCAACCATTTCACACCAAAATTGAAGACCACTTAGCTTAAAACGTGGAGAGTGCATCTAGCTACAAAAACAAGGAGCTTTGCACGGTTTTCTTGGGCTGAGTGAGGGCCAAAAATTCTGTTTGGTTCATCAACCAAAGTAAGTAGTGATCAACTCTCAAATTCTTGATCTATAGAAGTTGATTTACACTTATGAGCTTAGTTATTCATGTGGGTGGTTTGTTATTATTGGAAAATTTTGAAGGTGGGCTCTATGAACTCCCACCTTTGTCTTGAGGGCTGATATCATGCTTGATGAT